GTAGATGATGATAAATAACATAGTTATGTATAATATATTACATTTCTGACTGTATATCCCTGTAATTATTACACACTGTAGCTTTAAAACAGGAAGCTGTTAAAAGCAAAAGTTTTAAGTGTTCAAAAATATCTTTATTTCAATGCCTTCGTGGTGCATTTATGAAACTGATTAAATCCGTTCTAGTAAAGAGTTGTCTGGGCCAAAGGTACTTTAAACCTTTAATGTTTGAGGTGAGCAGATCATTGTAGACGATTTGGTTTTGTGTTTCATGATGAGTGATTTATAAACCGGTGTTGAAATGTTCTTCCTGGGATTCCTCAGCAGGTGGAGATGTCGTTGAGCTATTTTAAAAATGGAGTAACGCTCTGTTCCAATGTGTGCTAAAGACTCCACCTGCTGGTTCTGGATGCTGAATGGTTGAAGGAGAGATGACCTGACTGCCACCTTTAGCTCCGCCCCCACTGCTCACCTCTCTATGCCTCTATGCCTTTCAGATCAACCGGAAGCAGTTCCGCACAAATACATCGCAATATAATATATCTGGCAAATTGTTTTTATAAACAAATAAATAAAAAAATTAGATTAAATTAATAAAGCATTTAGAAAGCCATGATAATCATATTTAATACATTTTAATGCCAATTAAGGCCTTACTTAAAAAAAAGCAATAATTTTATGACTTTTAATGATTTTTAAAGACCTGCGGAAACCCTGAATTACTGCACATCGCCTCGCAAAAGAACATAAAGAATCAACATTTTGTATTATTTATAACATTGTTTTGAAATCCACACATTTTCAGAGTATAAATTAAGTATATGTATTTATCTAACATGTGATTCAAATAATAAATATACTATTAAATTACAAAAAACACAATTGAAATGTTTAGTGTCCTATCAAATAATTAAAAATTACAAAATTAATCTAATTTTCTACAAATAATCAACTTACTTCACTCTACATTTTTTAATATGTATAAATTGAAATAACTAAATGTATTTTTAGGAGGTCGCTAATGTGTATCTTTGGGTATTTTGGGGTTACAGGCTGAAATGTTTGGGAACTGATGAATTGATGAACTCATACAACTTTTAAACATTAAGATATTTTCCTACTTTTCAGGTTCCTGCTGCCTTCATCTCCACAGAAATATCAGCTAATATTTCTAGTTTTTTAATCACCTTGGTCCATGGATGAGCTTTGATCTGTGGGAACTTAAACTCTGTGTAGTTTGGATTCATCTCTCGTATCTGTTCCCTCGTTGGCGTTCCCAACACCTGAACACAAACACAAGAGCAACGTTGATCGTATAGGAAACGTTGCAGGAATCCCAGAAAGGATGCAGAGCTGCAAAGACTGAATCACCTTGATGATCTCCACCAGCTGGTCGACGCCGCTGTCTCCAGGGAATATCGGCTGACCGAGGAGGAGCTCTGCCAGCACGCAGCCGGCCGACCAGATGTCAATGTTTGCTGTGTAGTCTGTGGCACCAAAGATGAGCTCCGGGGCGCGGTAATACCGAGAGCAGATATACGACACGTTGGGTTCTCCGCGAACCAGCTGCTTGGCACTAAGGAGAACCACAGAAATGGAAAAACATTTAAAGCAGGTGTGGTACAAGCATCTAACCTGACTCCACCAGATGGATTTGCTCCGCATATCCATCTGGAAACCTTCCGTTGAAGTAATTTTGGGAAGGGGCGAAAATACTGGTTAGCTGATTGGCCTATGTTGGTGATAGACGGGCCAAATAAACCAATCAGATCAACGAAGCATTTGACGTACTAACAGAGCGACGACGAAGAGGAGCCAATTGATAGATAAGAAGAGCAAAAACATCTTTTCCTCTGAGAAAAGCCTCCAGAGCAGTGTTTTGCTCTTCTTTCAGTGAAGAAATACTCTGTAATTCCGATAAAACTTGCTCGATAGCCACGCTAACGCTAGTTTCATCGGCTGAAGCCGCCATGTTCTTTAGACTGAACTGTCGCGCTTCTCGTTGCGTCACACCTCAACCCGCCTCAAAGCCAACGCTGATTGGACGTTCGTTTGGTGAACGGCTCCAAATTTTCTTCAACAGAGAGTCTCCAGACTGATCTGCGAGTGAAACCTTGAAAGCTCGCGAGATCAGGATGGTCTCACGAGGCTAACAAGCATCTACCTGCCGAATCAAAGACATCCGTTCAGAAAGCCGAATGTCAACGATGTAGAAATCCAATCCTGCAGCTTACCTGCCGAAGTCGCACAGCTTCAGGACGGCAGTTTCTGGATCAACAAGCAGGTTTTGGGGCTTGATGTCTCTATGGCAAACCCCCTGGGAATGGATGTAGGCCAGGCCGCGGAACAACTGGTACATGTACACCTGAGGAGGTAAAAATACAGCAAGAACACGCTGCTGAGGGTCCTCTGAAAGGGACTGCAGCTAAATCTGGTTCCCAAAGATACTTCAGGACCAGCGGAAAGCAGAAAGAGTCAAACATCAGAGCGGTGGGACGGTACCTTCACGTAAATGATCGGAATGATGCTCTTGGCTTTGTTGAAATGTCTGGCAACTCTGTAGACCATGTCAGGGACGAAATCCATCACCAGGTTGAGGTAGACCTCGTCTTTCTGAGCAGGATGGAAAGAAGGACTTTCAGATTTAAATTAAAACTTTAAATCCATTTGTTTACAGCTAATACTTCCTGCAACATTTAAGCTTCTATTGTTCCAAAAATACACAGAAAAAATGTAAATGCAATTAGATTATTTGAGAATTTGCCAACAGAATAAGATGATTTATGTCTATACTAACAAGAAAAACACTCAATTATGTTATTTCAAGTATATAATATCCAACTGTCACATTTTACATGTAAAAAACTCATTTGATTGTCTTATTTACCTGCTTAAAGTAGCAAATACACTTATTTTGAGAAATACTTCCAGTGTAAACCCTTTTTCAAAAGAAAGATTTTTTCCACCACATGAATACAAACATGCATCTATCATGTCCTTGTTTTTTCAGCTAATGATCTTATCATAGAACCAGGTTTTAGACGATGATTAGAAGAGATCTGGATAGTGGAGGAAGATGGATGCCAGATCGACGGATGGATATAGTTAGCAAAGAATGAGTTTAAAAAAAAAAAAAAAAGATTGATTTAATATGTTTTCCAATAATTTCATTTCTTTTTTCTGTTTGGATCCACATTGGAAAAATTCTTAAATCTCTTCCAGACATGTCCAGTGAGAAATAAGCTAAGAGGAAATAAGTTCTTCCACTGCAGGAACAGGTACCTTCTCGCCGCTCGAGTAGAAGAAGTACCGCAGGCGGACAATGTTGCAGTGGTCCAGCTTTCTCATGATCTGTAGTTCTCGGTTCTGTACAAGAAGAAAACCAATGAGGAAGCATTTTTCCCAGAGTTACAGATCAGACAAAATTTCATAACGAACAATGAGATCAACTCCAGATCACAGCCTTACCTTAAACCTCTTATCCTGCAGAACTTTCTTAATGGCGACCATCTCCTGGCTGTCGATGAGCCGAGCCTGGTACACGACTCCGAATGATCCATTTCCAATAACCTGCCGGGTTTTAGAGAAGACCAGACAGAGAGATGATGGGAATGACCGAACTGGATGCATTCAGAAAACCCACACATCTTAAATCTAAATGCAACTAAAAGTGGAGCCGGTTGTACGACGCAAAAAAACACTTTATTCACAGACTTCCGCTGAGTTCTTATACCTATTCTGGGCTTAAGTCAACATATTCTGATCTCTTACAGCATTTCCTACCCAAGCAGACGACCCTGACCCCTAATTTCACATCCATGTTACAGATCAACTAAATCTTTGTTTGCAGAGTGAATTAGAATTCAGAAACCTCAAAAACATGACCTTACTTTTTCCATTTTAAAGCAGAATAACCAGAATATTAATAATTGCTCCATATTCCCCCGAAACATAATATCTCATCTTTGCAGAATTACTGCAATTCAGCTACATTGGTCGTTTCCAGCTTACAAGGTCATCCTTCAGCCTGAACATAGGGTTAACATCAGGACTTTGACTAGGCCACTCCAAAGTCTTCATTTTGTTGTTCTTCAGCCATTCAGATGTGGACTTATTTCAGGTAATGAAGCAGCCCCAGAGCATCACAGTACCACAACCATGTTTTACAGTCTGATGTTCTTATATATATATATATTTTAGGGATGGAACCG